GTCGTCCTTCCGCGCCTGCCCCTGGTCCTTCTGCTCCTCCCGCTGCTCCTTCCGCTTCTGCTGCTGCTGCTGCTGTTCCTGGTGGTGGTGCTGCTGCTGCTGCTGCTGCTGCTGCTGCTGCTGCTGCTGCTAGTAAGCGAGACGGCCGTCCTTCGGGGAGGTGGCTCGACCCCCTCCTCGAACCCCTCCCCCACCCCCTTCATCCACCCTCCCCTCCACCTCCACCACGCCCTCGTCCACCCCCTCCACCCCCTCCTCCTCCTCCTCTCCTCCTCCTCCTCCGCCTCCTCCTCCTCCTCCTCCTCCCTCCTCCTCCTCCCCATCCTCCTCCTCCTCCTCCTCCTCCTCCTCCTCCTCCTCCTCCTCCTCCTCCTCCTCCTCCTCCTCCTCCTACGGAGAGACGGTGGGCGGGATATGTTGCATACTGTACAACATACGCACAACGTAGAGATGGGTCACGGACACTGGGGGCATTGGGAACATAATACATAGTACTACGTGGTATCCGGGGCAGATGGGAATACACCACAACCTCTATCGATCATCGTCGGCTCCCACAACCAATCTGGCTCAACGACGGCCCCAGTGCGCAGTGTTGCGCACTAGCGGGGTTATCTCGGAGTGCGAGACGCTGGAGCTGCCAATGGCCTTCACGGGCAGCAATCAGCCATGGCCATGCGGGCGCTGCAACAACGTGCTCGGGCACTACAAGATGATAGAGAGCAACAGGGAGCAAACAGACAATGCGCCCGGGCATCAAAATCAAGGAGACAAGGGAAGTCAGTGGAAGAGAGTGTGCATCGACTGCGAGCTGGAGCTGAGGCAGGAGAAGTGGATCAAGTGGAACGACGAGGGAAAGACGAAGCATGGAGGAGAGCAATACATTACGAGAGAGCAATACATTACGAGAGAGCAAGTCTGCATGGGCAGCCCAGTCCCTTGGGCATATCCAGGCGTCGAAAGCGCTCATTGAGGCAGAGGAAGGACCAACAAAAAAAGTATCGCAATCAGAGGAACAAGATGGTCATAGAGAGGCCCAAGGAGATGTCAAAAACACTGGTGGAGGGCATCAAAGTGAATAGGGGCATCTTCGCAGCCTTCAGCAAAGCAGGAGAACGCATGGCAAAGGCCTTACGATGCGCAGAAGAATACGACGCCCTGCTGATCAAGTACATGGCCATGGAAGTTAACGACGAAGAAGCGCTGAAGGCCGCCAAGAAGAAGCTGGAGGAGAAAGAGAAGGTGATGCACGAGATGGGGGGCTTCAAGACGGCGAAAAACATGGGGGAGAAACAGACAGCGCACTTCAAGGCGCTGGACCTCGTAGACAGGTGGGGCGACAGCATGCAGCTGTTCATCGTATGCAGGAGGAGCACAGGATGGAACAAAAAAAAGACATCGTCTGCTCGTGCGGACTTGCATTCCCTGACAAGTTTCGGTGGCAAGGCCCCAGTCCCGACTCACGGGGGCCCCAATGGAAGTCCTGTTGCAAAGC